TCCAGATGAACTTCCTGAGGCTGCTGAGCTCGGAGGTGGTGCAGCACATCACCATCCACTGCCTGAACACCTCAGTGTGGAGGGAGGGCTCCTCCGACAGCCCCTCGGAGCGCGCCCTGCGCTTCAGGGCCTGGAATGGGCAGGTGTTCCAGGCCACCGGGCAGCTCAGGCCAGAAGTGGCAGCTGATGATTGCAAGGTATGTTGCTGTGAGAGAGGGAAAAAATGAGTGGAGAGAAATGCCAGAGCCTGTCACTGTCATATTTTCTGAAAAATCCCTTTGCCAGGGTTTCTTCTCCTGGGAAGATGAGAAGCCTCAGAGAAAAAAAAAAAAAAAAAAAAAAAAATATTATTTCATTTGCTTCTCCCTGTTTTGCTGCTTTGGAATGTGGCTGGAGATTGTTTACCAGCAGGTGCATGTTTGATTGGTTTCATGTGAACTGTTTTTACTTAATGACCAATCACCATCAGCTGTGTTGGACTTTGAGGAGTTTTTCATGATCATTCTTGTTAAGCCTTCTGTCTGTATCCTTTCAGAATAGAATAGAGTAGAATGGAATGGAATGGAATGGAATAGAATAGAATAGAATAGAATAGAATAATAAATTAGCCTTCTAAGAACATGGAGTCAGATTCACTCATCTCTCACCTCATCCTGGGGACCCCTGCAAATACCACAGGAGCCCACTCTGGGCCTCCAGTAACACCTGTGCTGTTTATCCTACAAGGGAGAAGGGTCAGGTTTACCATTAATTTTCCAGTTCAGGAAGCTATGCAGCTCCTCTGAAGCAGATAGCCTTCAAATAGAAAGCAAAAGATGAATTTTTGAAGTTACTTGTCATGGATAGCAGCAGTTAAATGGCAGAAGAGGGAATGGCTCCCCGTGGATGGTGACCCTGGCTCTGGTCTGGTGCCACACAGAGTCAGGAGATGCAGGGCTGCATTCAGGCTCACAGCATTAGGAGCTTGTCTTGGTGGTACCACCAAAGTTCAGTTTTACCTTTCTACCTTTTCAATGCAAATCTGACAAATGAACCCTTGGTAGAACTCCCATTCCCCGTCTTCAATTTGTTTCAGAACAGAGGAGGCCTACAATTGTCTTATGTTCCTAAAAGCTATTCATAAAGTTTCTATATTCTTCATTATAAACCCAGCTAACCAAACATTGTGTTGACAAGCAATCAATTATTAGTTAACTACTAACTCTTACTCATACTAACTCTACAAGGCCTACCCATTTATTTCAATCAACTCCAATAAAGTTCATCTCAAACCGTAAGGAATTTAGAGACTTTAGAGGAGCTGAGATTTCAGTTAAAGTCTCGCCCCTCCCCGTGCAGATCAAGGATGGACGCTGGCACAGGACCCTCTTTTCCTTCCGGACCCAGGACCCTCAGCAGCTGCCGATTGTCAGCATCCAGAACCTGCCCCCCTCCCAGCCAGGACAGCAGTATCACCTCGAGGTTGGCCCCGTCTGCTTCCTCTGAACCAAGCTGTGGGACCAGGCTCTGAGCTCCAACCCACCCTGGCCTGTCCTCACAGGGGCTCTCTCTGCCCCTCTCTGCAGCAGGGACAGCTGGGCTGTGCCTCTTGGGCCAACTCCTGCTCCAGCCTTGGCTCAAGGTCTCCAAGAGCCCGTGATCTACTGAACTCAGCCAGTTGTTGAAAAAGGAGGAGGAACAAGGACGTGGGGGAAGCAGGCATCAGTCAGGAGTGAGCAGTGCAAAGGGATCAGGGGGCTGGGTGTTGTGGTTCCACACACACAAAGCTTTGTCCATGACCAAAGAAAACATTGAGAGAAACCTCAAGCGTCTTGCAGCGCGTGGGGTTTTTTGTTCTTTCCCCCCCCTATCCACCCACCCACCCATTTTTGTCTGGTTCCTGAGTTACCAAATGTTCTTTCCATTGGAAAAAAAAAATGATTAAAAAAAAAAAAATAGAGCTTCCCTCTCAGAGCTTGTTGCCTTCTGGACAGCCACGAGCTGCATCAGGTCTCCCAGGCGGAGCTGCAAGTTGAATCTGGCTGCTCTGTGTACAGGAAGCATTTTGATGTGCAATATTAGAAGAAACAAAATATATATATTATATTATTTAAAGCAAAAAGAAAAAGGAAAAAAAAAAAAAAGAAAAAAAAAAGCCAAGTTCCTCCTTCCATGAGTTTAATCAAGACTCCCTCTCAAGGTGTGGTGTTGGAGTAGGGGAGAGTCAGGAAGCAAAGAAGGGGGAATGGAAAGAGGAGAGGGGAAGAGATTGGTGCTAAAATAGAGAGAGGGAATGGGCTCATCTGATTTGTTTCTACCTCTCACTGTGAAATCTCTGGTGCTCTTAAAAAAGTGTGTTATTTTATATATATGACTTTATTTAAGGTTGTGAAGGTGCTACAATGTCTTGCCACAGACCCAAAAATAAAAGCCCCATAGAATCATCTCTCTGGGAAGAGAGCAGATTATGTTCTACAGTTAAATCAGAGAAACAGCCACCTTAAAAGGGATCCTTCAGTGGCCATGGGTGTCAATAACACAACTCACACCACAGCCAACATCACTTACGGGATAATTTACAAGCAAATTTGGTTTTTGTGTTCATCAGCACTTCACTGCTTTGGGAGGGGAGTGAGGGACACAGCTCATCTGGAAGTGTTGAGCCTCAGAGAGCTCCTTTGGAGCTGGTTGGGTTGGGCTGTACTGAGTTGCCCACAGGACTCCCTGGACTAAGCTCACGTTCAAACCCAGCTCTGCAACTCTTCCCTCGGCCCCTCTGTCAAGACTGACATGATGGTACCTTGTTTCAGAACCCAGCCAAGCTTGCAAGGGTTTTGTTCTGTTAAGTTTTGTAGAAATTTAGTCTCTATATGTAAATTTGGAGGAATTTTTTTTAAAGAGGATAATTATGGTAATCTTTAATTCTATATAAGGAATAATATTGATGTAATCAGAGCTGTACTGTATCAGAAACTCTTCAGTGCCTGTTTGGAGTTTTCATGTCTCATACGGACTATGGATTTTATTTTTTTGAGGGGAAAAAAATTATCTGTGAGTCTCTCTTTGTGTATTTTTTTTTTTGTTGCTGTTGTTTTTTGTCACTACTGCCTGCTGGTTGGTTCCCAATCACCATCAGAAAAGGTTAACAGGATCTGTCCCTAATACCTCGCCCTCCACGCAGCCCCTGCCAGAAATACCTCATCCCCAGGCCAGAATCACCACCACCCATCACTCACTGCCCCCCTGCACCCCCCATACTCCAGATCCCTCCATTTCTCATCCCATGGCATTGGTTTTGTGTTTTCTCAAGGCTGCAGTTACCATTTGTTCTCCTTAAAGCTTTTTTTTTCTCTCCTTTTCTTTTTCCTTTTTTTTTTTTTTAACTTTAAATAAATATTTAAAACTGAGGCAATGGAACAGGACTGCAATTGTTTGGTTTTTTTTGTTTTCTTCATAAGAAACTAGGTGGGCAAGAGGTGCAGAAACACCCCATTTCCCAGGGGTTCCCCTAAATGATCTGAGGAGCCAAACCCACACCCCAAACCTTCCTGTGATGCCAAATGCACAAAATTGGGATCCCCTTGGCTCCCAGCTGCTTTGACACATCCCTGTCCCTATGTCCCCATCCTGCCACCGTGCTGGGCAGCAAGAGTAGGGGGGAAAGAAGAAAAGGGAAGGAAAAAGGGGGAAAAAAGGGAGGAAAGGGGGGGGAATAAAGGGGGAAAAGGAAAGGAAAGGAAAAAGGAAAGGAAAAGGGAAAGGGAAAGGGAAAGGGAAAGGGAAAGGAAAAGGAAAAGGAAAAGGGAAAGGGAAAGGAAAAGGGAAAGGAAAAGGGAAAGGAAAAGGGAAAGGAAAAGGGAAAGGAAAAGGGAAAGGAAAAGGGAAAGGAAAAGGGAAAGGAAAAGGGAAAGGAAAAGGGAAAGGAAAAGGGAAAGGAAAAGGGAAAGGAAAAGGAAAAGGAAAAGGAAAAGGAAAAGGAAAAGGAAAAGGAAAAGGAAAAGGAAAAGCAAGAAAAGAAAAGAGAAAAGAGAAAAGAAAAAAGAAAAAAGAAAAAAGTTGGGGTGGGGGAAAGGACGAGGGGGAAAACTAAGGGAGAGAAAAGGGGAAAGACGAGGGCAACAGCAGAGGGAGGGGGCAAAAAAAGCGGGCAGCAAATAGAAAGAAGGAAGCAAAAGGGGGAAAAAAAAATGGTTTTTTTGGGGGGGTCAAAAAGCAGCAGGGCTGCCTTGGCCGGGGCAGATTGCGACAGCGGCAGCGGGAAGGGGCAGAGCCGCGTGTGCCCGGCCCCGCTCGGCCCTTCCCGGCGCCGCCAGAGCCCGGCCGGTGATTGGTGATTGTCCCCCCCCCGAGCATGGAGCGGCTGATGAGGGCAGGGCGAAGGCAAATCTGTTTAATTAATTAATTAATTAATTAATCACCGCGCTTGATTATGATGCCAACATTAGAGGAGCTGCACGGCGCTCTTCGACAGGGAGATGCTGCGTTTAAAGAAGTTGTAATTTATGGGTTTTAAAAGGTCTGAGCCTAATTTATGGTTCTAAAAGGTCAGAGCCCACTGCACTGATGGGTTCCCTGCCTCTTGGCCACGGCCCCTGCCCCATGGACTCCCCCAAGGAAGCCCCCATGGCCCCTGCCCTGCACGGGCACACCTGAGCCCTTGTGCAAGCCCCATGTGCCACCAGGTGAGTGTGGAACAAAGCTCCCAGAGCCGCCAGCCATCTCCATCAGGGTTTCTTTGCCCTGTGGGGGAATGCCATGTCCTGCTGCCCTCAGTGTCCCCAAGGTCTCCAAACACACCTGAGGCTGCTGAGCACTTTGCCAGGCACCCACAAAATTAATTGCAGTTTCTGAGAACAAAAGCCTGCACTGGGGAAGCATGAGGTTGGGGCAAGAGGGGGGTGTTTCCTCCTTTTGTGCTGGAGAAATCCAAGATTTTGCAAGTTGGATTTCCTCCACCTGCTGTTGCTTCATGCCTGAGCAAACAGCCCAGCAGCGGAACAGGGACGCCGGGGCTGGGGATGTCCAGCCTTGCTGCAGCCCTATATAAGGGACAGAGCTGAGCTGGCAGAGCAGGAGCATCCTCCTGGACAGCCAGGAGATGTTGGCCACCCTCACCCTCCTCCTGGGGCTGCCCCTGGCCCTGGCCAGCGAGCCCCAGAGCTGCACCTCGCTCGTCCCCATCACCTTCAACAGCACCACCATCCCTCAGGTAAGCCCTGCCTCAGCCAAGGCACCATCCTCTCCTTTCCTGTCAGCCCCCAGCCCTTATGGACACAGGAGGAGGTCATGGGAGAACCATTGGCAGCTCAGTGTTTAGCTCATTGCCTGTCCATGCTTGTTTTCCTAAAAAAGATCCCGGCTGCTGCACAGGGAAGGGGTGAAGCCTTGAGCTCTGCACCCATCATCTCATGACCAGGCACTTCTGGGGGGTTCCTGCTTCCATCTCCCAGCAAACCAGGCTGGGCAGCACCATCCCACTGCCTCACCACTCTATTTTAAGTCCTTCAAGTGGTGGTGGCTCAGGTCACGAGTCTCCATCCGCAAACCCTTCACTGCATAAACAGAATTTAATCCCTCGGGAGCTCTTAATGGGAGGAAAGCAATGACAGCCTGGCCTGGAGCAGGAGAAACAGCATTGCAGAAAGAACTGGCCATGCTGAGAGCTGGAGCAGTGCCTTAACAGGAAGGGGACAAAGCCCAGGGACCCCTACCCAGGGCAGTGCCTACACCTGCTCCTGGCCTGGGACATCAGACACAGCCTCTGCTCTCCCTCATGGGGTGCCTGGGGGTGAGCCTGGCACAGCCCCTCCAACTCCCCCTCTCTGCTCCCCTCTGCAGCTCCTGGGACAGTGGTTCTACATCGCTGGTGCCTCCAGGTACCCCCCTCACCTGGCAGAGCTGAGAGCAGTGACATTTGAGGCTTTTTCCTTCTCTCCTGGCAGCCACAAGGACGAGCTCAACATCACTGAAATCATAAGGATGTAAGGACAGGGACCCATGCCCTGATCTGGCTCCCCCACCCCCAGGGGCATTTCCACCCTCTGGGCTGAGACACCCCACAAATTCAGGGCTGGAGAGCAGCTGTGCCACATTTATGGAAGCTCTGCAGCCCTGCTCATGTTCCAAACCCCTCAGGTTTGGCTGGGGCAAGCTGGGGGGTGTTTGCTCCCTCTGACCTCTCTGCCCCACAGGAATGAGACCTGTGTGGTGAGGAACTTCAGCAAGATCCAGGTCTTCCACGAGAACTCCACCCTGGTGCATGGTAAAGCTCCACTGGGATGGGATAATGGGGTGGGATGGGATTGGAAATGGGATGGGGATGGGATAATGGGGTGGGATAATGGGGGACTCAGCCAGCCCTTGAACCCTCCTGCTTCTGCCTCCCCAGTATGTGACACCCTGAGCTTTTTGCACCTAAAATCGTGTCTGGAGGTGGAGAAAAATAATTTCTTCCACCACACAACACATCTATGGCAGCACTGTGGGACCAGAGTGGCCCCCACTGGGATGAGTGGCAAGGATGGAAGGTGATGAGGCTCAGCATGGGGTGGATCCTGACCAGTGGGGAAATCTGACTGTCTCCATCCCTCCCAGTTGATGATAACGGGGTGGCTTCCACGGCCAGACTGATCCAAAGTGACAAAGACCTGCTGATCCTGAACCACATCAACATTGACTCCCCAAATCTGAGTCTCTCAGGTGAGCAGATGCTTCCCCAGGGACAGATCAAGGGGCATGGACATCTACAGTGCTCACAAGCAGGGCAATAAACCCCTTTTCCCCTTGTACAGAGAGGGGAAAGATGAGGACAGGCAGTGAGCTCCCATCTGCACTGCAGGGATCACCCAGGAGCAAAGCAACCCTAAAACTCCATTTCCTTCCCTCCCTTTCCATTTCTCTGGCAGCAAGGACACCCAACGTGAGCAAGGAGCACTTGGAGGAGTTCAAAGCCCACCTGCAGTGCCTGGGCTTCACTGAGCAGGAGGTGTTCTACGCTTCCACAGAGGTACAAACCCCTCCTGGGCCGGGTGAGCCCCAGGCCAGGCTCTGTCCCCAGCTGGGATGGGGCTCTGGGGGGATGTGAGTTTAGACCCCCCAGCAGAACCTCCCTGCTGTGCATCCCCACTCCCCCTCGGGCCCCTGCCCCAGCCATTCCTGGGGCTGGGGTGAGCCCCAGGAGCTGCTCTCTGCTCTCTCCCCCAGGAGCTGCTCTCTGCTCTGTCCCAGGAGCTCATCTCTCCCCCAGGAGCTCATCTCTCCCCCAGGAGCTGCTCTCTGCTCTGTCCCAGGAGCTGCTCTCTCCTCTCTCCCCCAGGAGCTGCTCTCTCCTCTCTCCTCTCCCCCAGGAGCTCATCTCTCCTCTCTCCCCCAGGAGCTCATCTCTCCTCTCTCCCCCAGGAGCTCATCTCTCCTCTCTCCCAGAGCTCATCTCTCCTCTCTCCCAGAGCTCATCTCTCCTCTCTCCCAGGAGCTCATCTCTCCTCTCTCCCAGGAGCTCATCTCTCCTCTCTCCCAGAGCTCATCTCTCCTCTCTCCCAGGAGCTCATCTCTCCTCTCTCCCAGAGCTCATCTCTGCTCTGTCCCAGGAGCTCATCTCTCCTCTCCCCCAGGAGCTCATCTCTCCTCTCTCCCCCAGAGCTCATCTCTCCTCTCTCCCAGGAGCTCATCTCTCCTCTCTCCCAGAGCTCATCTCTCCTCTCTCCCCCAGCACGCCTGTCCCCTGCCTGGGGATGAAGACAATGCAGATCCTCAGCTGGGGTAACCCCCATGGACCAGGTCAGCTGCTCCATCCTCATCCTCCTCCAGGCTCAGCACAGCCTCAGAACCTCTTATCCTATTTTTCCTGTCCATGTTTTGGTTTTCACCCAGTTTCACTGTTCTCAACTGAGCCCAAAATAAACTCCTGTGTTTCACCCACTGGCTGTTCCTGCTCCATCTCCTCTGGGACACCCTCCTGCCTGCCCTGCCCATGGTGCTGCATCTCCAAACCCACCCAGGGCTGTGAAATGCTCCAGACAAAACCCAGCCAGGGCCAAGCGTGGCAGTGGGCACAGAGGCACAGCCCTCACGCCAGCTCTGGGGTGGCAGGGGACCCTCCCAGCCTCAGGACATTGGGACATGAGCCCTCAGGGTGACACACAAACCTGCCAGCCCCCGAGCCTCCCCCACCACAGCACTCCCAGCACCTGAGCATCCCCACCCTCCATTTTCGAGCCAAACCCCACCAGGCTCCATCTACACCAATCTCATCTCAAACTACAATTTTTTACCTTTGTCTGATTCTCCTTATCCCACTGCAGAGGAGTGTGGGGCAACTGAACAAGCAGCTGCATCATACAGCATTTGGCTGGGGCTAACACACCATCAAGTTATTCTATCAAGGGTAATTTCCAGAAGAAATCCCCATAAAGTTAAAAAAAGTAAAATTCATGCAGTGGACACAAACTGTGTCGTCTTCTTTTTTTTTTTTTTTTGTCTTGTACTAAATCATTGCAAATACTGACTCTTTTGAGAGTAACAGCCCAGTGAATAGGAAATCAGTGACAAGGACTCTCATTTTAGCATAAGGAAAGCTAACTTTACTCTCAGATGAAATCATCCAGGCATAGATGTTTTAGCAGGGAAGAACAATTACCTGCCAGCATAGAATTCGTTTCCACTTTTCCAAAACCATCTCTTCTTTAAGTAAATTGGCTTGGCTGAGAAATCAAGAGGATAACAATTTCTTGTTCACATATTTCCCAGTACAGCTGCAGTGACAAGAGGTGACACTGCACCTTCCCCAGGTGTCCCTGAGGAGGGGAAAGGGGAGAGGATGGGAAAAACCATCCCCCAGAGCCAGACCAAAGCATTCAGGGAGGCTCAGAGAGGAAAAGGCACCCCAAATGCCAGAGAAACAGGACCTGCCTGTCTGACACACAGGGACAGCAGCAGGACAGGCAGGGGCAGGAGCTGCACTGGGGATGTGTCCAACAGCACAGGGGTGACCCCTGAGGCCCCTAAACACCACTTTTAATGCCAAGGAGAGCAAAAGCACCTTCTCTTCAAAGCCCCCTTGTGTGGAATTGCAGGCAACCCCAACAAGGGGAGAGATGAGAATCTTGACTCCGTGTTTCAGAAGGCTGATTAATTATTTTATTATATATATTATATTAAAAGAAAATGATATATTAAAACTACACTAAAAGAACAGGAGAAAGGATTTCATCAGAAGGCTAGCAAGGAATAGAAAGGAATGGAATGATAATAAAATCTTGTGACTGCTCCCAGCCTCAACACAGGTGGCTGTCATTGGTCATCAAGTAAAAACAATTTCACACGCTGGGTAAACAATTCTCCAAATCACATTCCAAAGCAGCAAAACATCGAGAAACTGAAGTTTCTCAGGAGAAAAGATCCTGGCAAAAGGATTTTTCATAAAATATGCCTGCGACACCTTTGGGCTTTGCCTGAGATTGGGGATGGGGCATCTGCAGCCAAACCAGCACTGGGAGGGCTGCACATCTCAACAGCAGAGCAAGAGGTGACTACAGCAGCTGCTCACGGGGAAAATGGGCAGATTCAGGGCAGGTTGGAGTTTTAAATGCAGTAACTGCATCACCAGCTGTGGCATTCACATGCCCTCTGAGCAGAGAGAAGCTGTGAGACAAGCAGAGAAGGAGGAAAACACGATGCTTATCTCGCTTGCTGTGCCTGTGTTGTGACAAAGTAGAATGCAATATGGAGATAGTTTACCCAGAGTGAGGATGTTTTGTTCTCTTGGCCAAGAAGAGTCTGTGTGTGGGACTGTCATGGGAGAGTGAGGAGAGAATCGGAGTTGATGAGTGCAGTTCTGAGCAGTGTGAGCAAGAGCGAGTGTGGGGCAGATTCAGTTCAGGTACAAGGTACACAGTATAGCATAATAAAGTAATTAATTAGCCTTCTGATGATGGAGTCAGATGCATCATTCTCTCTCCCCTTTGATTTTCAATGCCCAGCCTATTGATTTTCAATGCCCAGCCGCCCGCTCCTACCGCAGCCGCATCGCGGCCGGGGCGAGCGCCAAGCCCGAGGCTCATCCCGGGCACCGCTTGCGACACAGGGGCAGATCCGGCCGGGCACATCCTGTCCCCTCCCAGCGGAGCCAGCAGCGCCTGTGTGTCCGTCTGTCCGTCCGTGCAGGGCTCGCACAGCCATGGGCCCGGCGCTCGTGGCCATCCTGGGGCTGGCAGCGCTGCTGCCCGCGGCCGCGCTGCCCTGCGGAGCGCAGCGCCCGGACAGCGCCACGGCCTCCAAGGTAGGCGAGAAACACGGGGCTGGGGCTGCCCCCGCTGCTGCCGGCCCCGGGGGCTCTGCTCAGCCTCGCTGGCCCCTGGGAAAGGGCACGGCCCCACCGTGTGCCCCGGGAAAGGGAACAACCCCACCGTGTGCCCCGGGAAAGGGAACAACCCCACCGTGCGCCCCGGGAAAGGGAACAACCCCACCGTGCGCCCCCCGGGAAAGGGAACAACCCCACCGTGCGCCCCGGGAAAGGGAACAACCCCTCCGTGCGCCCCTCGGGACGGGGCACGGCCCCACCGGGCGCCCCCCGCTCCCCCAGCGCATCTGCCGAGGCGCTGTCGGTGAAACACCTGCAGCAAACGGGAAATGTTTAATGTCCAAAACACCTGGAATGACCCAATTTTCTCAGGTTCTCAGCAGTGACCTCGAAAGAAGGCGGGTGGGCTGGGCATTTCTGGGTGCAAATCCCCCGCGACAAAGCCGGGCTGTCCTGTCCCGGTGCCAGCACCCCTCCCAACCCCCACGCCCAGCTATTTTTTTCTTTCCCCAGCTCATTTGCAAATATTTCACCTTATCGCTGCCAACGCAAGAGCCCTGGCAGGATATCCGAGAGCTAGCAGCGCTATCAATTTTGCCACGGGGAGGGTGGAAATCTCAGGGTTCCTCCTGCAAACCCACCCGTCCCCCTGTCCCCTCCCTCCCCACAGCTGCCGGGGACCTGGCTGTACGTGGCAGGGGCTGCCCAGTTCCCCCAGCACCAGGTGGAGATGCTGCTCATCGACCACGCCTTGCTGCGCCTGGAGCCCGCGCCCGGCGGGCAGGAGCTGCTCATCAGCCACTTCGTGGCCGTGTAAGATGCGGTCCCCGTGCCCTCAACCCAGCCCCTCTCTGCTACAGCCCTAAAGTCTTCCTGCGCAAGGTGCGAGCACGGTTCCAGATTGGTTTCTCCAGAAGGAGTCGCTCCTGCCTGCTCTGTGCACCCTCGCCCTCATCCCCTTTATTTCCTCATTTATTTCAGCAAGCCGCAGGTTCAGACAAGTCTTGCAGGGCACAGAGGTCTCAGAGGCACCAAGCCCTGCAAGAGAAGACCTTTCCAGGGGAGGAGAACTTTGCAGAAGTCCCTGTGCCGTGGCTGCTGACCCTGCCAGGCACCAAAAGCTGCTCCCCCACAGGGTCAGAATTTCAGGGGATGAATTTTTCTGTGCCAACACAGGCAGCGCTTTGAGGTTTCGGTTATTTCAGGGTGGAAAACGTCTGACCACCAAGGGGCGGGGGAACAATGGCAGGGCTGGGACCATGAGCTGCCACTGGAGGGAGAGAAACGCCTTGATTTGAACAGCGAGAGAAATTAACCCTGAGGAGGAGGAGGAGGTGGCAGGTGCCCGGGGCAGGGCTGGGGCTTTGCTGCTCGCTCCACACAACGGCATCACCCCCTTCCCCTCTCTCTCCAGGGGGGACCAATGTTTTACCAACAACCTCACCTACCTGGAAGTCACTGCTGGTAACGCCACGCTGGTGAAGAACGGTGAGCAGCACGGAAGGGGTTAACACCCAGCCCATGGTTTCACACGGATTGAGACACACAAAGGGCCCACTTCCCTGTTTTACATTATCTGATGTATTTTATTCCAGAGTCTCTGCCTGTCTGAAGCCTCGGTGGGCTCCAAAGCAGGGGGCACCAGGAATAAAGGGGATAGGGGGACTCAGCCCAGAAGTGTGATACCCCAGAGCTGTGTACCTGATGGGACTGCAAGGGGGAAATCCTGTTAAGCATATAGTGAGGCTAACACAGGGATCAGTTGGTTATACTGCTCATTTATTTGCTATTGTAGTAATTTTAGATTACTGCAATAGCAAATAACACAGGGATCAGTTGGTTACACTGCTCGTTTATTTGCTATTGTAGTAATTTTAGATATTAGCTTTACTAGTATTGGTGTTGTAACTTAGCTTTTATGTCTTACTGGCCTTTCTAATATCCATAAATGTAGGCACAGCTGCTTTATGCTTTCAGGTAAGCACTTTGTGTCAGAAACCACAGAAATGAAGGTAATTTGATAAAGGTTTTGATGAGTGCTTTAAAGAAATTAATAACTTTGTTCGCTTTAAGCAAAACAAAACAGATTGGTCATAAAAATAAGAAAAAAATACTAATATTATGGTTCCTATATAACAGCATCCAGAACATTACTATTTTAGAAATGAACAGATGAAGAAACTCTGCTCCTGCTCAGAAACTCAGAAACTCAGCTCCTGGGGCAGCCCAGGGGTCCCAGCCCTGCTGTGCAGGCACATAAACCCCAGAGCAATGCTGTGCCAGGAGCCAGCCTGCTCCCCCTTGTCCCTGCAGGAGAACCCCATCCTGTTTGTGAAGTTATTGCACAATCCCTCGGGGGCAGGAGGGAACACCCAGGGCAGGTTTCAGGAATTAATGAAGCCTCTTGTTCTGAGCTCTTCCTCCTTGCTGAGGTAGTGGGGTGAGCCAGTCTGGGGTGGGAATTGCAGCCCCCTGGGGCACATTTGCACTGACCCCTCAACCCTGAGTCCCAACACAGCAGGACAGGAGCTGGGGGACTTTGGCTCTTTCACACCCCGGCCCCATTTTTAAGAAATGCAATTTATATAAACCAAGAGCCAAAAAAAATCACCCTATTTCAGGACATTTTTCCTCACCTGCTACTGAATCCCAGGGACTACTGATACTGCCACAGCTGGGCTGGAGTTTATTGCTGCTGCAGCACTGCAAATCTGAGTTATTGTGTTCTCTCTGTGTCTGTTCTCTCCAAGCCATGACCCAGCAAACTGAGGGGATGCTGATGAACATGAGCTCTGAAAACCTTTTACTCATCCAGTACCAAATGCAGAGGGAAAGGACATACTTGGGGCAGTATCTCTATGGTATGAAACTCCATCCTAAAGTCATTTAAAGCTATCATGGCACACCCACACAAAGTTATCAACTAAAACCATACAGCAGCTTGGTCTCACCAAGAGTCAGTGACCAGCGCTCCAGGGCTCGTGGGATTTGCAAACCCCATTAAACCCCACATCTCTTGGCAGAACAGGAAAAGCAAGTTAAAGACCAAACCCACTTACAGCATAAATATTTAAAGAACAGGAAGCAAATACAATTCAGCATCGATATAATTGTAAAATCTCAACATTTTCAAGCCAACCATGATGTTTCAGTATTTACCTCCCAGGCAGAGCACGTGGCTTTGCAGTGCTAAGGCTGATCAGATTTAACCACAAACCCATAAAGCAGCAGTTTTGATCCTGATAAGGCTCCCCCCATCACCTTGCAGTTGCTTAAGAGATTTTGAAGACACATATAGAAAACTGCCTCCATATTCCACCTTGGTCCCTCCTGACACCCCAGGAGTATCAAACCATCCTGCAACCCCTTTAAGCATGCAGGACCAGAGCTTTTTGGGAGAGGGTTAAACAAGGGTTGGTTTTGTTCAGGTGTGTTCACCATGGGGGTGAGAGAGCCCCACACAGAGCACATCCCCTGCAAGCACTGGTGGGGAAGGGGAGCAGCAGGACAGGGACACAAAGGGCTGTGCCGAGGCCACCAGTCCATACCTAACCCCTGACAAATCCTTCTCCAGCCAGGAACCTGAGCCTAAGCACAGCAGACCGGGAGGAATTCGAGCAGCACGCCGAGTGCCTGGGGCTGAGGGCGGAGCAGATCGTGTACGCGCCCTGGAAAACGGTACCGAGCACCCTGGGCCACCAGAACCAGCTCCAGGCAGGGCTGCGAGAGCCCAGCTGCACCCCCAGCTGCCAAACTGGGCTCTCAGACACCTTTTCAAGGTGTTGGAAGTTATTTAGAGGATTAAATCATCACAGGCTTGCTTCAGCTGAGGTGTGAAATAGCAGCCCTAAAGCAAATGCCTGCACTGAGCATCTCCTCTGGCAGCCCTGGTGACAGCCTGCCGACCCCTGCCAGGGGGAAACAGGCAAGGGATTTTTGCCCTGAAGTTACTGATTTTGCCTTGAAACCCCTGGGTTTGCTCCCTAGCAAGGACCAGCTGTCCCCAGAAGCTGCAGAAAGAGCAGGAACCCCCAGGGATTTTTTCCACCAAAGCATTAACCAGGTCCAGTTCTCACCTCTGCCACCTGATTCAAGACATTTTATCCTGCAAATAACCCAGACCCTAAGTCAGCTTGACAGGGGCTCCTGTTTGCAAAGTGAAGGTGAAGAACATCTTACCTTTGCTGCTCTGTCCTGGTCACCTGCTCACCCACATCAGCAGGCTCTGAGTTTTCAGAGGTGGCCAAAACCCCAGTCCAAGCCACCAGGCTGGATCCAACGTTATCCCCAACACTTCTCCAGCCTCAAGAGCTGCTTTTCAAACTGCCCCACAGGTTGAGGGGAACAGAGGACAGAGACAGAGGGTGGAACCCTGGGAATGGGGCTGCACCTGGGGCAGGTCTCCTCCAATTTAGCAAACAAGCAGCACCTGGGAGGCAGAGCCCAGCTCCTCTACATTAACTGCGTGCAGCTGTGAACTGGGGATTGCAGGCTCTGGATCACATTTAAATTTGGGCAAAATGAGGAGAATTGGACAGGAGTGTCTGTGCTTAAAGTTCTGGTGCAATTTGGGTTGGCAGTTACTGGCCAAAGTAAGCAACTGCACCTGAGGAGTAAAAAAAAAAACAACAACTAAACAAACACAGAAAATATTTTGGGGCCCTTTGTGATCAGGCTGAAGGAGTGGATGTGAGCAGAGCACAGGAGCAAACTCACAAAGCCCTGTGTCATCTGCAGGCATTAACAGAACTTAACCTATGCTGAGTGCCTGAGCAGCACAAGCTTTTTACTTATTTCCCCCAAAGTCTGAGTTCCCCCTTTCCTTCAGAGCACACTTACCCTAACTTTGCCCCAGAAACTTTTTCCTCTTTCCAGCACAGGCATGGAAAATGGCACCAGCAGGAGCTGAGCACCTGGGCAAGCTTTGTCTGAGCCTTGGACAGGACAGGGAAGCCCTCTTAGACATAATCAGCTAAAAGGGGAGAGGAAAATTCCTTCTTTCTTGAGTAAATTCAGTCTTTCTTGAGTAAATTCTCTGTTGCTGGCACCTTGGCAGATTCACTTACTCTGTTTTTGTTGTTTTGACAGGAGGTGTGTCAAGCGAAAGCAGCAGAAGGCAGCAGCAGCCCCCACCCAGAGCCCGGGGCTGCAGCCACAGCATCCCCTGCCCCAGGCACCTCCTGGCCTGGGAGTGCAGGGAACTGACCCCACACAGGGCAATAAACGTTTCCTTCAAATTAGATACAATTCCGTGCCAGTTGTTTGAGAGCAGAAGGTTCTGAAGAGTTGAGAAGTGGGGTTTGCAAGAAGAGAACGAGCACCCGATTCGCTTTGTGTGAGTCATCCAGCCAGGGGTTGGGAGAATCAGCCTGGAGCTTCCCACCGAGCTTGGAAAAGGGCTCTGGCTCTGCCAAAAAGCAGCGCTGCAATGCAGCAGTAAGAGAGACCAGCCAGGAGAGGGCAATCATTGACTATTTTAAATAAGCAAACCAAGCGTTTCAGGAGTAACTGGGATCTAGAGAAGGCTGGAAGCTGAGCTGGAACTGCGCAGCCTGAGGAAAAGGGGGTTTAGCTAAAAGGGACCAGCCGGTTCTCCTGGCAGCTGAGGGCCAGGTAGCCCAGGTGAGACAGATGTTCCTGCCCAAAGCCTCTGGACCAGGCAAGTGCTCCCTGATCGTGTCCATCCACAGCTTGGTTTGCACACCATGTCTGACACTGAGAAATTACCCTCCTGCCAGAGGGAAGGGCTGCTAACCCAACCCAGCCTGGATTTTCAGTTTTCAGAGAAAATGTCACAATTTCTCGTTTCTCAGCAAGCTCATCACCCTGGAGATGAGAAGTGGCAAAGATGGCATTGCTGTCCATGCCTCCATCACTTGTCAGGCACCTGATACACCCCTTATCCCAGCCCCAAAGGGGGGACAGCACCATCCCTGCCATTGTAAAATGGGCAAGTGTAACAAGAGACTGCTGCTGCATGTCTGGAGAGTAATTCAGTCTCAGCTCATAATTAAGCACTGAAAATATCTCTCTTCCTTAAAAAGGAAGAAAATGAGAGAAGCCAGAGGGAAGGCTGCAGTGAGCTCCCCCTTCATAGCTCCAGGGTGCTCTGTCTCTGTCCAGCTGCCTTTACTAGGCAGTATTTCAGCCTTTGGAGTGACTGCTCTGGCAAGAATGAATTTTACAAGATCACAGAATCATTAAGGTTGGAGAAGACCTCCAAGTTCCAGTCCAACCTATGACCAATGCCCCCCTTGTTAACCAGAGCAGAGCACAGAGCACCAATCCAGTCATCCCTTGGACACTTCCCAGGGATGGGGACTCCACCACCTCCCTGGGCAGCCCCTTCCAGTGCTTGACAAATCTTGCAGTGAAGAAATTCCTCCTGATGCCCTGGTACAGCTTGAGGCCATTCCCTCTCCTGCTGTCCCTTGTTCCCTGGGAGCAGAGCCTGACTGCACCCTCCTGTGTCAGGGAATTGTAGATTGAGAAGGTCCCCCCAAGATTGCTTTCTGCTGGATAAAAACATAAGTTCAGCCCATTCCCTCCAGGTCTTGAGGCACAGGTAGCCAGGCAGCCCTTGTTTCACCCACCTCCTCATCAGCTTGTGATGTGAAACACAACTCCCAACCTCTCCAGAGGGCTGAGGGGATGCTGGCAGCAGCCTCCAGGGCTGCAGTTCAAGGGCCCATCTCAGCTGACAGCACTGGAGAGCTGTGGCTCAGATTACAAAAACCCAGACTTTATGAGTAGATTTATAGCTGAATAAAAGCCTTGAATTACAGTAGGAGACATAAGGAACAAACAAAGCCAGTCTGGCCCCCAGAGCAAGTTTTGTTAACCAAATCAGAGGCCACTTGCACTACCAGCTGTGGCTCCTGAATGACCTTCAAGGGCAGCTCCTGGCTGCGTTGTTTTTCATGAAAAAACTTGTACAAAAAGCCTTTATTTTGGAAATGGTATAAGCCAGGTTCCTTCAAGGGGATAATTGGACTGCAGAGCTTTGTTTTTTCTGGGAAATTCACTTCTCTGAACAGAGTGTTGTGGATACTGCAGAGGTGAGCAAAGTCTAGCAATACCCAGACAGGTAAACAGAGTCTGAACATCCCTGACTCACCACCACTATCATCAGCCTTGATCTTGCTGGCTTTGTTTTTAAGAATTCTGTTCTCCCAGGTCCTCACAGTGAGAATCCTTCCCACTGTCAGTGTCCTTGGTGAGAATTACCCCAGGAAGAGTCTGGCCCCAAAGAGCACCAATAAACCACAGAGAAAGAGATGGAGACATGGTATCTCTTTATCAGACCTTTATTAGCAGACTGTTCCCTACATGAAGAATCCGTGTTAGATTTGCATTATAACAATTTGTGGTTACAGCTACAAAGATGGTTGTCATTTTGCATTGATTTTTGCATTCTGATATTCATATTCTCATTAGGCCACACTGGTAGGAAGGAGCCACTGCAGAATTTATGACAGGTCTCAGGAAGAGGGGGGTGGAAAAAAAAATCATATCACTAATCCATTGTTGGTTAGATTTCCACGTGGCTACACCACTGAAAGTGAAGGCAGAGTCTCACCTGGGAGACTCTCCATGACCACCAAAATCTGTCAGAAATAAAGCAGCTGTTTGAGTGCTTAGCAAATCCTTTTCCAATTTCTCCCACACATCTCCACAGTGTCCTCCTGCACGTGATGAGCACTGGCTCAGCAGCAGGGGCTGCTGATTCAGCCTTGAAGCACAACTGTAGCAGCTCGTGTCCAAGTGCAAGTTTCCTTCCATCTCTCTGGAAATGTGTATTGTCTTTAGTCCCTGAGATTTCTCTCTTCCCCCCTTACCTCAAAACTCCCCCAAGCTCTCTTAATTAACTGTTGTGACATCCAACATCCACAGACCTTCCACTTCCCAGCTTCAGCCATCCCCCCAAAGCCTTTCTGCCATGCACAGAGGCCATTCCAAGCTAAGGCAAGCCTCACAGTGCACCCTCTCCCCAAACTTCTGCTTCCTCATCTGCTCCCTTCTCTCCTATGGCTTCTTGCTACAGAATTTCTCTGGGCTGAGGTCCTCCAGCAACAAACCCAGACGTGGGAAAGGCAGTTCAAGCCCCAGAGGGAAGGGACAAAAGTGACTTTAGCATCCCTCCCCACGACTCAGCTGTGTGATGCAAAAGAACTAATAGAGAACTTTTTAAAACAGGAGAAATACAAGCACAGTAACAATATTTAAACAAACCTATAAAAATAGTCTGAAATAACTCTGTTCAAATAAATACAAAATAAATATGCTTTAAGCAGTAAAACAGTGGAATGCAACGCTGGTCCATTTTACCCAAAATGAAGAGTTGGGTGAGGATCTCCCAGGCCTCAGAAGCTGGATCCTATTAACTAAAGCAGCCCATAATGCTATCAGAGAAATATTAAAGCCATCTCTTTCCCTTAGCCTTATGAAAAGCACCCTTTGAAAGGCAAGCAAGCATGTCCTCAGGACTGAAATCTCCCCTCTCCCAGTGACAGCCCCTCTCCCTAACACCCCTTCCCACAGCAGACATTCCTGACTTGGGGCCTGCACGGCACCAATGGAAACCTGAACATGGATCTACCAAGAGGTCTAAAGAGATAAGATAGCAGCATAGGCACGGGGTTTGGAAAAGGTTCACGAGCTCTCTTGGCACCAGGCAGGCTGGGATTCAGAGGTCCATGCAACGCTGTGCAGGGGCTCTCCTGTCGTGCTGGGAGCTCAGCTGCACAGGAGCTGTGGTGGTTTTGTCTTTGTTCACTAAAGCCATGCATCACAGTGCCGGGCAGCCCAGGGCTCTCCTCCTTCCCCTTTCCAAGCCCCTGCAGAGAATAAGACAAGCCAATCCCGGCATGCAAAGGATACAGGCATGCAGGCTCTAGTCTGCTGCTTCTGTTAGTAAGTGCATCTTGTTAGTGGGTTTATGAGACACACTTAAACCTATAAAAAAATAAATAATCCTAATTCTTCATCAGGCTGGCTTAAGTAACCTTCAGCCTGGCTGGGATAAACCACTGCCCACCAGCCCTCCAAACCAGTATAGATCAAAGTTACATTTCATGTCAATTCTTGGAAGCAGAACATGAATGTCTCCCACCCAAAGGAATATTTGTAAACATAACAAGCCTGGTGTGGCAGCAGCTCCTACACAAGGTTTGTACAAATTTAAACAATGGGCAGGAAGTTAAACAACTGAATGGAAAAAGCAGCTCTCTGAATGGAAAAAGAAGCTCTTTCAGCAAGTCAGAAGGTGCTCATCTGTAGGCAAACAGGCAACACGCTGAGAGCAGACCTGTAACCCAAATCTTTGCTACTCTGTCATACTGCTGGGGACTGACCTCAGCAACTCCCACCTCAAGATCTCCCAGGAGTTCAGCTCCTGGTCTCCCAAAAGGCCCAACAAAAAGGACCCCGTGATGGTTTATGTGGAGCTCTGAGTAGCAAGATGGCAAAGGACACAAGATCCTCCCCTCCCTCTTCCTTACTGACTCACAATCTGAGATTTCACAGCTTTGCTTAGTCAGCTTAGTGTCGACACATTCACAGAATGAGAGATGGCTTATATGTCTTGGGATTGCATCCCAAGATTTCAGAGTTCCAAGTCCTCAGCATCTCCTGGTCACCGTGAGTCCACGCCCAGAGTCATCTTCAAGTTCTCATAGACCACGTAGCTGATGCTCACAGCTGGGATCACCTTCATGAAGTTGGGTGCCAGACCCCGGTAAAGCCCAAACGCTCCCTCTGTCTTCAGAATGTGTTTGAACAGTCCCCTCATGGTCACTTCAGGAGCACCCTCCACTGAAGCTGCAACAGGGAAAGCCACAATAAATAATGCAGCCTATGTGGTGAAAACACTTTTGTTTCCAAGAGCAGTACTGATCCATGTGCTTTCAGATGTTCCCAGAGCAAAGGTGCTTGGTGGGGGACAGCATTAACTTAACTCAGCTGCCCATTCTGTGCTCCACACTGAAGTATTTTCTCAAACTGCTCTGCAGATGCCCTCAGCCCAGAACTGCTGATCTGAGCAAAACAGAACCTCTGTCCTGGAGGTCCTTGGTCCCAGAGGTTAGAAGGGCAGCACAAAGTCCACTGTCCCCTTGCAGCATCATAAACAGCCCTTGGTCAGCTGTGGGGGCCAGCTGAGGCTGTTGTTGCAATGCTGACACTAAAGATCTTTTAGCTTTGCTCAAAAACAAA